ACGTTTGGTGACTTGTGACACACAGGGGCGGTTCCAGAGGGGGGGGGGGGCACGGGACCATGCCCCCCCCCCTTGGTCCCGAATGGGCCCATTGTCTCCGAAGGGGCCCATGCAGTTTTTTAATACAAAACGCAAAAAACTAGATATCTCTGAACTTCCAGACGACCGAGAACAATTGTAAGCGAAAGTGAAGGGGCCTATGATAAGTCAAAAAAGAATTCATTGATTGGAAAAATTGGGAACTGGAAACTTCAAGCCTCATTTCACTGTCTTCGGGCCGATGCTGTCACTGGGAGACCCATATGCCCACTGGCGTGGTCATTTCAATAGTCAAGGTGCATTCCACGTGGCCCTTCATTTCTCTGCATTTGCTCGAGGGACTCTGCGCTGTTGTTGAGGCCCTTCCTGCCAGCGTGCCGGGACACTCCGTCAACCACGGCCCCTTCCGCGTGTTCTTCCATTCGCCAGAAAGGCTGTGGTGAGCTATAGCCGGGGCCCCATATCTTACCTGCCGGGGTATTCTCTGTTGCCCAGGGGCCATTTACGTGGGTCTCAGTTAACCTACCGACACACTTGCGATATGCTCACGGGCTCTCTTCATTGCTCTAGGCGGTTCCAATTTATGGCTCTGCCACTCTTGTCGGAGGCCCATCTGATAGCCTGCTTGGGCACAACAGTCGTTCGGGAACCCTTCACACTGGGTCTTTTCTTAATGGGGATTCTGCGCTTTTTTGGGGGGAGGGGCTATCTGATAGCGTTCGGGGGGTCCTCTACATTGGGCCTAGGGCACGTGCTATTTGAATGGGTCCCACGCACATTGTCAGGGCCTCTCTGTTCGCTCCTCGGCCACACTGGATTGCTCGGGGCCCTGCACATTGGTTTTCAGTGTTGGAAATTAGGGCCCTCTGCTTCTATCGGGGTCATCCGATAACCTGTTCGGGTACACTCCATCTTTCGGCGGCCCTCGGCATCGGGCTTTGGATAATTCTTATTTGAATGGAGGACCTTACGCCCCTGTCGGGGCCTCTTCTGATAAGATGCTCGGGCCGATTCAATCGTGGGGACCTCTACATGTGGTTTTTGGGTACATACTTTTTGAATGGAGGGCCCTCCGCGCTTTTCGGGGACCCTATCTGGTAACCTGCTCTGGCGCATTCGATTATTTGGGCCCTCTACATCGTGTTATGGATATTTCATATTTGAACAGAAGGCCGTACGCCGGGACCCCGTCTGTTAACCTGCTCGGACACACTCGAATATCCGGGGGCTTTCCACATAGTGTCTTGGACACTTTATATCTGAATTGAGGGTCGTACGTGCCTGACGGAGGCCCCATATGTTCGCCGCTTCGGCCACACTGAATTGTCCGGGGGCCCTGCTTATTGGATCCTGGCGTTTGTATTTAGGGCTCTACACTCCTGTCTGGGCCACCTGATAATCTGCTTGGTTATACTCCATCTTTCGGGAGCCCTCTGCTCTGGGTTTTGGGTACTTCTGATTTGAATGGAGGGCCCTACGTTCTTCTCGGGCCCTTCTGATAAGCTGCTCGAGCACATTCTGTCATTCTGGGGTCATTCACATAAGATCGTCGGTGCGCTCCATTCGAATGGAGGGTCTTACGCTCTTGTTGGGAGCCCTATTTGTTAATCTGCTCGGGCACACTCGACCATTCAGAGGCGCTCTTCATTGGGTTTGGGATACTTCCTTTTTGAATGGAGGGCCCTGCGCTCCTGACGCCGGCCCTATGTGTGAACCGGCTCTGATGCACTGGATCAATCGGGGGGGGGGGGGGGGGGTCCTCTGCATTGGGTCTTGAATACTTCTTATTTGAAAGGAGTGCCATGCGCTCTTTTTGGGGAGCTTATCTGTTAACCTGCTCGGGCACACAATATTCGGGGGCCCCCTACATTGGGTCTTGGGCAGTTCCTATTTGAATGAAGGACCCTACGCTGCTGATCGGGCCCCTATTGTTAACCTATTCGGGCGCACTCGATCGCTCAGAGTCCTACACATGGTGTCGTGAGTATTTATTTTTGGAATAGATGGCCCTATGTTCGTTGTGGACCCCATCTGTTAAGCTGCTCGAGCCGGTGGCGGATTCAGAGGGGGGGGGGGTGGAGGGAGAGGACCATGCCAGGACCATGCCGAGGGGACCTAAGGGCTCCGAAGGGGCCATAAGAGGCCGGACGGACGCAGTTTTTTTTACAACAAAGACAACAAAGTTGGAAGCCTTTGGGCATCCAGACGACCAAAAACAGTTGCTAGTAAAAGTAATGAGTTCATAAGCATACCGAGATCATTTTTTGCTGAGAGGAAGTGTCGCTGGGGGAAAATTTTGGAGCTCATCACGTTGTCTAGAGCCATTGTGCTGTTGGTTTCCTGGCCGCATATGTCCAACTTGCCGGGACAATCTGATCGCCAAGGGAGCTTTCCGCACTGCCCTTGATATCTGCATTTTCTCGTAGGGCCTAATGTGCTGTTGGGATGCTATCTGCCTCCATGCCTGAGCGCTGACGATCGATCAGGTTTTTCTCCGCGAATTTCCCCGTTCGCCCGAAAGGCTCTGTACGCTTTTTTCCACGACCCATGTGCCAGGGTACACTCAGTTGCTCGCGGGCCCTTCATTTATGTCTCGAGCTCTTCCTACTTGCTCGAAAGGCCTTGTACTGTTGCTAGGGCTTTATAAGGTAAGGCGGAGACGCTCCATGCTCAGGGGTGTGGCGTTTATGGAGCTGGATCAGCTCGCGTATTGTCTGGCTCGGTGCGAGCAATAAAACGCGTGGTAACGGTCGGTGGGGAAGTTGTTTATCATTCCAAGGTCAATAGGGGTTTGTTTCATATGGTATCCCGGGAGGGTATGACAATACAGGGGAATGTGAATGATTTTCATTGCAACGAGACATAGACACTACATCCCTCCCCTTCTTCAGATGATAGCTTACACATAGTCCTTCATCCACTCGGTCTGGCGCCGCGCGCGGTGACGCATGGTCGGGGAACACACTGGCGGGGGACGAGGTCGTGGCGTGGGAGGCCGCAGTAGCGGCGCGGAAAGTAGGGGTGTGGCGCCGCATGGTCTCGAGGATGTCATCCATCGCCTGTTCTTCGTCCTCTTCTTCGGAGCGATCAGCGTCCTGTCCACGGAGGTGCGGGCATTTTTTTAATAGCGACGCGTTTCTCGTCACCTAGTGACATCCACGTGATGCGGTGACCATGGTGCCTTGGATTCCGGTCCCTTCTTATGGCACTGGGCAGAACCGAGGTGTCAGCTCTTCTGAGTAGTGGTGTGCGGTGTTGGTCGGTAGTTTCGTAGAAACTTGTTCATTTCCTGCTTGATCGGGCGTTGCTCGACGACAGCAGCTTTCACAGCTTTTGATAGCGTTCTCATGAAACGTTCTGCTTCTCCACTAGCTCTTGGCCACAACGGGGTGATCCTGCGGTGCTTGAAGCCGATTTATCCCATCCAACGTCCATTTCATTGCAGCGATACATAGACACTACGAGGGGTCATCTACTTTGATCGATGTCTCTCCCCCTTTGGACTCATTTGCGGAGGACTCCTCACTCCTATCAAGGCTCGTGTTGTTTACCTGCTCACGCACTCTTGACCGGACAGGGGTATGAATTCATGGTCTTGGATAATTCCCCTTGGCTCGGAAGTTTCTGTGTTCTGCCCGGGGCCTTATATAACAGCCTGCCGGGGCACTACCGGTCGTTCGTGGGCCCCTACGTTGGCTTGGGTTTTTTTGCTTGCTCTGCGGACCCTATATTTGTTGACGGAAGTCACTTTCTTGACTTCCTGTGGCACCCATGATCGCTCAGGTTTCGTCCCTATTGGCCTTGGTACTTTCGCCTCGGAGCAGGGGTCGAACATGCGCCGATGAATTTTTACGTGCAATTGCCGAACGTAAGTTTATATGCCGCCGACGTCCTATGTGTCATTTTCATTAGCTATTGAAGGTGTGACACTTATTACACTAATGCATTATGTTCTTAGCATATTTCGAGCGCTAGGATATGTTGTACTCCTTTATAACAGAGCAAAAACTCTGTACTAGTCATCAGCCATCAATTGATGGCATCGCCCAACCGGCTAGCTGTAAAAAACATAAGCTAGAAATCAAGTTAATGCTTGGTTTTGATGGTTGTTAACAGTTATCTCAAGTTTAGTTTGCCTGTTGTCCCGAAAACTTAGCCTCAAAATCACAGCATTTAAAATGATCTGCAGAAAGTGAGTGAATTCTATGTGTATGCATGCGTAGCATACCTAACTTTATAAGGCCGTGCACAGTAAGATGGGTTTCCGTATTTATGAAATAGATAAATAGGTAATTACATACTGCATATATACGTGCCTTAATATGGATATATTATACACGTGTATATATGCTACAGAAACTTGTCTCTAAAATGTAATGACCGAAATTCAAGGATATTTCTCGAGGGGGCCACACACTCCAGGGGGCCCCACAATGTTGAGTGCATTCCCCCCTTGATGCAATCTTGGATCCGCCCATGGTGACACAAACGCCGACTAAAAGCAAAGTTGCAGTTTTGGCTGAAAACAAATTTGGCTGATCCTGGATTCGAATACTCCTGCAAGTTTTTGATCATCAGTTGGCATGTTAACGAGGGGGGGGGACGGGCAATCACCGCGTTGCATTAAATTTAGCTGCACTATACCTTTTATTTTCTGGGCTATTTTGGCGCAGATGTGTCAATCCTGATGTAACGAGTAAACGTTCAACATTTCCGCGCACGCGAATCGCTCCACTAATGTGTTTCGGAGGGCGATGTGTCGCCGAGCGGGGTGAGACGCGGCAACTCGGATTAGCCTGTAATAATTGGATGAATGGTGAAGAGGATTTTTTGTACTGTATGAGGGACGAAATGGGGTTCTGTGAATGGTATAAAAGTGATAATCAAATGAGCGGTGCCTGATATGGTATGGTCGGAGTGCAGAGTGTTACTGAATGCTGTTTTACCCGTGGTTCTGGGCTCAAACATTTGATTTAAGGAATTCAGGTTGAAAAGATGTCTCTTTGTGATAAATTAAGGTGAATGTGTACACACACACCCAATAATGCTTGATACAGATGTGTTGAATTTTATGAGAGGTTGGGTATTTTTATTTTGTAGTGTATCATATTGTTTTTGGTTTTGTTTCACACACTTATGCATTTTCCCAGGCTAGACCATAAAATTGCATGCTTTTCAGAGTGTGTCCATTCTCAATTTATCCATCTGGAACTAAAATTAATCAGCTATGCTGGATACCTACATGACCATTTGTGCACTGTACCTTATGCCTCACTTCTAGCATTTCAGGTCAGACAAAAATGATCAGTTTTTACATTGTTTTCTAGGGGAGAGATTGTTGGGGTTTGTCTGACATACCTTTGCATTATCACCACACGCTTGTTATGTACTAAGATTGGTGCCAACCATTTGCCAAGCTCTGAGTGGTCAAATTTATCATGTATGCATCCTGTTATTGAAATTGTTACTGTGCTATTGCTGCTACACAGGACATGTTCATGTATTGTATAACATTTTTCAGTCACAATGATCTGTTTGGCATTGTGACAAGTCTTGTCTTCTGGTGTAATGAACCATATTCTGTTGGGGGGCTCAATATAATCATGGTGTAATGATAAACTTGAATATACCAGTCTCCTGGTATATTAAGTTATCATGAACTCAGCAGAATGAACTCAGGTGGTTAGCTGCTTAGAGACTATCCAAAACATGATCAAGATTCAGGCCTCTAGGCAGATGTTAAGTTAGTAAAGATCAGTTAATATAATTACAAGGTATCCTGAGGTCACTTGTAACACACTGGGCTGACAGAGCAGTAATTTACTGCATTGCTGATTAGATTGCAAGGGTGCATGAAAGTCTAAGGGAATAATAGTATTGAGGCTGCTCATCTCTCAGATAAATCACCCTTTTATCATAAGATGCTGATATTTCACAACATGTGTATCTAACATGCATGTGCAACTGCTACATGACAGGATCCTATCAAAATAAATGTTAAGTGCCCACCTATCATACAAGATATGCCTGGAGCAGCATTAATACCTGTGACTGAGATATAGGTTCTCTTCACAGTTGCACAAGCCCAGACATTTCTGACTGATACATGCATTTCATTTGATACCTGCATATTTGCAGCCTAATGCATATTTTGTGACAAAAGCATGTGGCTTGCATACTCATTAATTAAGAAGGTGTCTCAGTGGTCACTAATGTGTTGCTTGGCAAATGACCTGTAAACCCTTTTTTGAAAGTGTACCTTATCTAAAAGACAATATTTCTTCAGAATGCATGGGCAGAACATGTATAGATTGCCTCTGCTTTCATATTTTTTATGAGACAATTGGTAGTCTTATTGACCCATTAGATTGATGGTCATATTGATACCACTATCAACAACTCCAATGAATAGCATGTGGATTTAGCAGTGCATATAGTGTTTGATTCCTCACTATATGTGCCCTGCCTGCCAGGGTGAGAGGCAGCAGGAAGTTCCATAAAGCCTCAGCAGTAGTGTGTTTTTAAGTACCAATGGCAACATCAACAACTTACCAGTGCACTAATTAACTCCAAACTTGCCCCATGTGTGAGAATGGCAGTCATCATAGAGGGCTCATTTTTGCTAACAGCGTGTTCCTGTTCATTATAGGATAATGGTGGAACTATTCTTACAATGTTAGCCCATAGCATTGGGGCATGTTAGCTCATAGCATCAGGCCTTAAATTCTGCTATTTTTTATCATATTCAGATGCATGCTTCAAACCATGCAGTTCACATGAACTTATTGTTTTGTCATGCGTCTACGTCATTTCCAGGCCTGAGTGAAGTTCAGCAAGAGCCATCATGAAAGACACTGGCAGGAGCAAGGGGGCAGCACCCACAGTGCAGCAGATCAATGCAGACCGTGTCACACAGGTTAGTACCACACAAGGAACACACAACTTTTGAAGCAGCCTCCTCTGTGGCTACAGCTTGTGCCAGTATGTGTTCAAATGCCATGTCTGCATCACACTCTGCCTTGCGTGGGTAGCTTCATCTCACAACTCTGTGTATGCTTGATTGCAAGTGGTCAGCAGGTTCTGCTGATGATGTCAAACATGTTTGGCATCACCAGGTGTGACAAGTGTAGATGCTCAGTATGTTTGGCTGAGCCTCTCTGGTCATTGTTGGCTTCCAGACTTCATGCCAGTTTCTTTTGAGAATTGCCCTAAATATTAGTTTGGCTTACTCCTCTGTTGCTGTAGCTGAACCCATTTCTTGAGTTCATTGGTGCAGGATGGGACCTGAAGATACATCAATAACTTTCACAGCTGGCCAATCAATACTGGTCCCCATACATTATCAGCGTGGGACAGCAGGCTCCATTCAACCCAGCTATCATCGAAGAGATCTACCAGCAGGAGCTGATTGGCTCAAAGTGAGTAATGCCTGCTGTCTCTGTCCTTCTCTCGTTTTGTGTTGGTTGGTTTGGTTTGGTTTTTGTTTCGTTTTGTTTTTTACTGTCTTGTCCTGGATCTCTCGCTTTCTCTTACTTATTCCATGGTAGGCTTACTTCCATCCATTTATCTGTCTTATCATTTTCTTTTCTCTTGTGCACATGCGTTTTCAGTTCATGTGTTTTTAGCTTACGTTAACCGGTTCTCAGCTGGTGTCCGACAGTTTAAAACCCATGTTATTTCCACCCTGTGTACTATGCGGGAATGTGCCGTCAAGTAAGCAGAATACTGCTGGCTGGCGACTAGCGGTATTTGCCGTCGGCCTGAGCCCAGTTTATTTCTGTCATCGGATTTCGAGAAAGAAATCATCGCGACTGCTTTCATATAAAGAAAATAGGAAACGTCGTCGCCGCAGTGTTCCACGGTGTTCGGCCTCATTGGAGCTGATACACCTCTGATCTGTGTCATGGCTGCCCGCAGTTTCGCCGTACGCCGTGTCATGCTGCTCGAGTTCTCGCAGTACTTGGAGAACTACCTGTGGCCCAACTACCAGCCGCGCCTGGCCACGCACGCTCACCTCATGTCGATCGTGGTCACCGTCAACGAGAAGGTCCGCGAGCGCGTCCCGCCTGGCACGTGAGTGAATGTGCCGCGCAGCTGACGGAGGGCGAGGCTGGGAGCTGCAGACAGAGGGCGAGGCTGGGAACTGCAGACGGAGGGTGAGGCAGGGAGCTGCAGACAGAGGGTGAGGCTGGGAGCTGCAGACAGAGGGCGAGGCTGGGAAACTGCAGACGGAGGGTGAGGCAGGGAGCTGCAGACGGAGGGTGAGGCTGGGAGCTGCAGACAGAGGCGAGGCTGGGAACTGCAGCGGAGGGTGAGGCAGGGAGCTGCAGACGGAGGTGAGGCAGGGGGCTGCAGACAGAGGGCGAGGCTGGGAACTGCAGACGGAGGGTGAGGCAGGGAGCTGCAGACGGAGGGTGAGGCTGGGAGCTGCAGACGGAGGGCGAGGCTGGGAGCTGCAGACAGAGGGCGAGGCTGGGGGCTGCAGACATAGGGCGAGGCTGGGGGCTGCAGACATAGGGCGAGGCTGGGGGCTGCAGACGGAGGGCGAGGCTGGGAGCTGCAGACGGAGGGTGAGGCAGGGAGCTGCAGACGGAGGGTGAGGCTGGGAGCTGCAGACAGAGGGCGAGGCTGGGAGCTGCGGACAGAGGGCGAGGCTGGGGGCTGCAGACATGGGCGAGGCTGAGGGCTGCAGACAGACAGACGGAGGGCGAGGCTGGGGGCTGCAGACATAGGGTGAGGCTGGGAGCTGCAGACGGAGGGCGAGGCTGGGAGCTGCAGACGGAGGGTGAGGCAGGGAGCTGCATACGGAGGGTGAGGCTGGGAGCTGCAGACAGAGGGAGAGGCTGGGAGCTGCAGACCGAGGGTGAGGCAGGGGGCTGCAGACAGAGGGCGAGGCTGGGAGCTGCAGACAGAGAGTGAGGCAGGGGGCTGCTGACAGAAGGCGAGGCTGGGAGCTGCAGACGGAGGGCGAGGCTGGGAGCTGCAGACAGACAGACGGAGAGCGAGGCTGGGGGCTGCAGACGGAGGGTGAGGCAGGGGGCTGCAGACAGAGGGCGAGGCTGGGGGCTGCTGACGGAGGGTGAGGCTTGGGTGGGGGCTGCTGACAGAGGGCGGGGCTGGGAGCTGCAGACAGAGGGCGAGGCTGGGAGCTGCAGACAGAGGGCGAGGTCTGGGAGCTGCAGACAGAGGGCGAGGCTGGAAGCTGCAGACGGAGGGACGAGGCTGGGGCTGCAGACGGGGGGCTAGGCTGGGTCTGCTGACGGAGGGCAAAGTTGAGGGCTGCAGAAAGACGTAGAGCGAGGCCGGGGCTGGGCGCTACCGTGCTGACCACGGCGTCATGGCAGCGCGGATGCAGGGGGTGCTGCAGCAGGTTTTGGCGGTGCGTCAGTACGCATGGCTCTGTGATGGTGTCTAACGACTCGTGACTCGTATTTCATTGTTTTTCCAACATGGAAAATCAGGCAAAACCGTGTCTTGGAGTCACAGTTGTTTTTCGTACATGACAAAGTTTGTACGGTGACACTTGACGCAAGCCTGCTGTCTTGATGGAGTGTGCCGTTTCAGCGAACTGTGATCTCAGTGAAAGGCTGTGGTGTTCACGATGGTATGATCGACGCGGATTTCGTCAGCTCTGCGAGCCCAGATCGCCGTTTGACCCCGCTCGGTCCGCTCTGGCAGCCGTTTGTCAAGGCGCCGCAGCACTTCGCCGAGTTCTTCCACCAAGTAACCACCACCTGTCTGGAGCGCGTGTCGTTCCGGGAGATGACGGCGCTGCTGGTCTTCCTCGACTACTGCTTCAACAGCATGGAGGTGGAGCTGGTGCGCGCCCAGGTCCAGCGGCTCGTCTCGCTGCCCATGTGGATTTGCCTGCTCGAGGTGTGTATCAATTGCTCCAGCGGGCACGCCAGGCGCCGCGTTCACGCAGAACCGGCCGGCCGCAGAGCCGGTGCCGTGTTCGGTCGGGGTGTCGATTGTGAAAGAAGTGGTGTATGCTCATGGTTTGGTTGCACTGTAGAACAGAGTTGGCCTTGTGTTACCAATTCCCAGCCTAACAGCCTTATCCCAACTACCATGGGTTCCATTTGGGTCGAAACTCGGAGCAGCGTGTTCTTATGTGGTGCACGCGCGGGTAAGGAACAGATGATGCCGCGCGTCTCCGCCATATAGCAAGCATGGATATTGTCCCATTTGCTTTGGTGTTCAATATGCGCACCGTTTTGCAGAAGCGGCGCGAGGCCGAACTGCGGCGCATCCCCAAATGGAGGAAGTTCTGGAAAATCCTCCAGAAGAAGGATGCCCAGCTGGACGAAAAGGAGAAGGCCAAGCTGGACTTTCAGCGGAGGTTTTCTGTACAATCTGATCCAGAAGTTTCTGAAGATATTGGAGAGTACGCCCGACGAAGGTATGTCGGACCCTGGGCAAACACAGCAGCTTCCAGTGCACCACGAAGGTTTGAGCGCTTTACGACAGCGGCTCACGTGACGCGAAGACAGCCGCAGCACGGAAATGGCGCGCGATTGGTCGCTCCGCTTGCGCTGTTACACATTGTGGTCCTTCGTGTTTAGACAGAGTTGTATCTGAGGTTAAGGCTCCGCAACTGCGCAGCTCAAATATTGTGGGGGTCGGGACGCGCAGGTGAAAAGTGGGGATTCTGAAAGTGTTAAAAATATGTCGCATTCACTATATACGCCTCAAATTGCATGCGTCATTGCAGGCGACAGCTGTCACCCGAAATCGCATTAGTTCTCAAACTAGCATGGTGTGGCAGCTCACATCAATAGGAGTGGAAAACTTCAGAGCGAAGGACTGGAGAACAGATCCCGCCCGTGGCATGACGTGGCTGTGTGTCTGTACGGGCCGAGTGACGGAGAACAGATCCCGCCCGTGACATGGCGTGGCTGTGTGTCTGTACGGGCCGAGTGTACGGAGAACAGATCCCGCCCGTGGCATGACGTGGCTGTGTGTCTGTACCGGCCGGGTGACGGAGAACAGATCCCGCCCGTGGCATGGCGTGGCTGTGTGTCTGTACGGGCCGAGTGACGGAGAACAGATCCCGCCCGTGGCATGACGTGGCTGTGTGTCTGTACGGGCCGAGTGACGGAGAACAGATCCCGCCCGTGGCATGACGTGGCTGTGTACCTGTACGGCCCGAGTGACGGGAACAGATCCCGCCCGTGGCATGACGTGGCTGTGTGTCTGTACGGGCCGAGTGACGGAGAACAGATCCTGCCCGTGGCATGACGTGGCTGTGTGTCTGTACCGGCCGAGTGACGGAGAACAGATCCCGCCCGTGGCATGACGTGGCTGTGTGTCTGTACCGGCCGAGTGACGGAGAACAGATCCCGCCCGTGGCATGGCGTGGCTGTGTGTCTGTACGGGCCGAGTGACGGAGAACAGATCCCGCCTGTGACATGACGTGGCTTGTGTGTCTGTACGGGCCGAGTGACGGAGAACAGAGCCCGCCTGTGACATGACGTGGCTGTGTGTCTGTACGGGCCGAGTGACGGAGAACAGATCCCGCCCGTGACATGGCGTGGCTGTGTGTCTGTACGGGCCGAGTGACGGAGAAACAGATCCCGCCCGTGGCATGACGTGGCTGTGTGTCTGTACCGGCCGGGTGACGGAGAACAGATCCCGCCCGTGGCATGGCGTGGCTGTGTGTCTGTACGGGCCGAGTGACGGAGAACAGATCCCGCCCGTGGCATGACGTGGCTGTGTGTCTGTACGGGCCGAGTGACGGAGAACAGATCCCGCCCGTGGCATGACGTGGCTGTGTACCTGTACGGCCCGAGTGACGGAGAACAGATCCCGCCCGTGGCATGACGTGGCTGTGTGTCTGTACGGGCCGAGTGACGGAGAACAGATCCTGCCCGTGGCATGACGTGGCTGTGTGTCTGTACCGGCCGAGTGACGGAGAACAGATCCCGCCCGTGGCATGACGTGGCTGTGTGTCTGTACCGGCCGAGTGACGGAGAACAGATCCCGCCCGTGGCATGGCGTGGCTGTGTGTCTGTACGGGCCGAGTGACGGAGAACAGATCCCGCCTGTGACATGACGTGGCTGTGTGTCTGTACGGGCCGAGTGACGGAGAACAGAGCCCGCCTGTGACATGACGTGGCTGTGTGTCTGTACGGGCCGAGTGACGAATAACAGATCCCGCCCGTGGCATGACGTGGCTGTGTGTCTGTACCGGCCGGGTGACGGAGAACAGATCCCGCCCGTGGCATGACGTGGCTGTGTGTCTGTACGGGCCGAGTGACGGAGAACAGATCCCGCCCGTGACATGACGTGGCTGTGTGTCTGTACCGACCGGGTGACGGAGAACAGATCCCGCCCCGTGACATGACGTGGCTGTGTGTCTATACCGGCCGAGTAACGTCAGCGCTGACCTGGACCGCCGGCGGCAGGCTACGTGGACCGGCGGCGCGTGGCCTACTGCGAACAAATGGTGCAGCTGATGATCGACCTGGAGGCATTGTTGCCAACGCGCCGCTTCTTCAACACGCTGCTGGACGACGCGCACCTAGTGGTGCGCTGCCGGCTGTCGGGCCTGGCCGAGCGCGAGGAGGGCAAGCTGTTCGTGCAGGTGGGTCGCCGCCTCGGGCCCAGGCAGGGCGGCTCGGCCCGCCGGGCTCAGAGCCGAGCCGCCGTTTGGGAACGGCACGTCTGCGAGATTGCGCTTACCTTACCTGACGTCATTAATTGTGTATGTGTGTGTCGTTACCTGAATTGACTAGGAACCATAGCTGGTGAACCTAAACCCCACTGAAGTGATGGGAGCCCAGTATGTGTATGCTAGATTTGATGGCGTTTAGCAGCGTATGGTGAGTGTGGTAGCGTTAGGCTGTCGCGATGGTTGAGCGTCCGTCACCCGTGGTTTCAGCTGCTGGACATGCTGGCGTTCTACTCCCGGTTCGAGATCAACGATCAGACGGGCGACCCGCTGTCGGACCGCGACATGATGCAGCTCCACTACAGCCGCATCACTTCCCTGCAGGTGAGCGCCGCCCCCGCCGCCGCCTCCAGGCGAGCCGGAAGCTCGGGGCTGCTCTAGATCAACCGGGCGGCAGCGGCTTT